GACACACTGAGTCTAGCTGGCTGTCCACTTGGTCCGCTGTTCATACGCTGCACGCAGTTCCCCACCAGACACCCACCCGCAGGTCCCCTACTCAACCAGCTGTGGCCACACTCCATCTCCCCACCAACCAGCTGTGACCACTTTCCTTTATCTTCCCATCAACCACGTGTGGCCACACTCCCTCACCTCCCCTTCCACCAGCTGTGGTCACATTTCCCCCCATCTTCTCACCCACCAACTGCGAACACTCTCTTACCTCCCGACCCACCACCTCCATACCAACCAGCTGTGACCACACTTCCTTACCTCCACAGTCCACATCTACCAACTGTGGTCATAATCCTTTACAGCTTAAGCTCAGACATGGCCGGACCAGGTGTGTCCCTAATGATATGTTGGAGGCTGCTTCCCTTGCCACTCCACCATTACTGATATTGGAATATAATATATAACCTGCCGTGGGAGGCCACTATCAACCTGCCGCCTGTTGTAGTACATGTGACGCCCTACTTTATCAGTCTCCCAGTGTGTCAACATGTGCAAAATATTTGATAAAAATGTTAAAACCTCAAAGATTATATAACGTTTTCTACTTTTTGTCCCGTCACTTTCTACCTTCGTGTTACACCTTCCTCTCTACCTGATGTGTGTATATACTCTCCTCCCTTCTTAGAGGTTTGGTTGCACCCCTAGAGCCATCCCGCACATAATTGGATATTAATATTTGTTGTCTCATGTGTATCTGCCGTCTTGCCAAGCTCCCGTTTTATTAGAGGACCCATCCTACACCAAAGTGGTCCAGGAGTATAGTAATAAACAGCCAGATCATCATTACACGGTGACAGACAAGCAAGTTTCACCAACTACCGCATCAAGTTCCTCAAAGATTATTAGGACTTAATATTAACACATCCCAGCAGATTTCTTCCTAATAGCGAGCTCATAATAAAAGGCGGCGCGGGCATTTCTTCCAGAATGAGACATAAAGGTCGAACGTTAATAACCCAATTTCCACGACCGCCTTTGTGATGCCGGGAACCGTGAGCCCAAGTCTTTGTCTGGCGGAGCAATAAAGACTGGGGTACACTCTCGCCCATACATGTCAAGTTCGACACATCCCGGTCTGGGCTGGCGTCGTCCTGGAGACTACCTGAGCACAATCCCTCGTCTCCCACTGACACTGACTGTGCATCACCCTAGTCACTCCTGCCTAACTGACTTACGGAAAAGAAAAAAAATTCTCAGGATGGCTCTTTTGGTGAGCTATTTTTTTCCTTTAGTTTCTCCTAGCCAGAGGGCCTTTCTCCGGGTTCTCACACCAACTCTGGACAGCCGGGAACCAATTCAGTGGTCTTGCTATTTCAAAGTTCCTCAACTAAGGTACTAAATGCCCCGCTTAACTCTACTAAGCTCCTTAGCCTGTGAAGTTCATTAATCCACAATGGACGGTGTGGCCAGTCCTCAGCGGCCTCTAGCCCTTACCGTTAAGCCAAAAGCATTAGCTTTCACCAGACGACATTCACCACATGTACAACCTCAGCTTTCTCAGCACCAACAACGAGCCAAATAAACACAATTGACTTATTCTGACGAGTTTAAACTACTCTCTAACGACAACAAAACCTTCTGGCTGACCCAAGAGGATTCCAAACCTGGAAACTTTCCTAGAGTAAACATCTTCCTGAAGTTATAAGTTCTATCAATAAACCTGGGCTGTGAGGTACAGTACACAGACACGAGAAGACGCTCTTCATGAGTGGAAAACTTTGAGGCAAATGACTAAAAAAATTGCATGAAATTTTTAAATGTTTTCAACTTTTATTCAAAAGTCAACACAAGGACCAACACTTGTCCCGGACCTGGATTTATTCATCCCCTTAACCAGAACCTCAGTGGTGAAAAAAAAATCAATATAAAATTTAACTTGACGTAACTTGACGGCGAAAATGTGGCCAGGCGGCCCATTACAGACAGCGTAGAAATAATAATAATAATAATAATAATAATAATTGCACAGCCAACAAGGTTTAAAATTGTATGTTAACTCTCCCATAAGACTTTACTTTAAACACAAACACACAATAAACGGAGCCAAGTATGCATCTTGAATATTACATGTTCCTCTTAGGTAAATATGCTGCTTGGAAAGACAAGAAGATTAAAATTAAATCTAAACTTTACGTTAAAATATTTTAAGATTTCAAGCTCTTAGTCCAAACAATAATATTCTCTCAGGCTGTCCGACTGTTCATCTTATTTTATTTAATATTTACATTATTTTTCTTCAGTTTTACAGTTTTCTTACAATATATTTCATTATTATTTTCTTGCATCTCCATTTCTTATCCCCCCCCACCATCCATTCCCTGTTACCACTTTCCATCCCTACTTCCTCAACTATTATCAGTTCCTTACACTTCTGCTTCTTCTTCTTCTTCGCCCGCTTCACCAGCTCCTGCTATCGTTATTCCTCTTCCTCATCATCACTAATGTACTGTACCTTCCCCGTCACTTTCCTTCACTCCTCCTTTTGAATCAAATTGCATAATGGTGAAACAGAATATGCAACACGTTATAATGTCTCTTTCTGGACGACGCCTCGCTTGTATTTCACTTTCTGGGCCGCTTTTAGTATAATTACAGTATATTTCCTTATCCTCAATAAAGCTAATGTGTGAGGAGTGAATATCGAAGTGTGTTGTATATTTAGAATGAAACTGAGATACTGAACACGCAATTGCATTGTATATTTTGGATAAACATAACTTATTGAACACAGAGTTCTTTAATATTTTGGAATCAGGACTGACCAACTGAGTGTATCCCCCACAGGTAATTGATTGGGTGTGTTTTCTTGGCATCTCGCGGAAGTCAGAGAGTGGAGGGGAAGTTGTGGGTGGTACCGTGGGGAGGTAAACAAGGTCGTGGCAGGGACTGGAACATGCGCACTTGTTCATGAATACAGTCACACACCGCCTACACACCACCACCCTTCGTGAGATGGTGAGAAGAATAATGTATACAGTTTAGATTAAAATTTAGCGACAAATTGTGAACAAAATGAGTAGTGAAAAGTGGTATTCTCTGGGTTGTTCAACACATTAAGTTACTGTATTTCGCTGGTGCTAAGAACACTTAGAAAAATGATTTGTCGGATGGATTTTTAGTCGGTGAAGTTTTACTTTATTGGAAGCAACTAAATATTTATTTTTCTCAAAAACTTTTAAACAGAATTACCGAACAGTGTATATAAAAGTGACGGCTATTTGAAAATAAATTAAAAATGTAATTTTTTGATTACTTATGAACTCTTCAGAGTTCCTTGTAACATGTGGCGGTCACGAACGTCCAGCAATATATTAATCTATGTTGAAAGGTGACACTCGAGTAACCAAACAAACATGAACCAAGCAAAGAATAATTCACAACCGTTCTTTTATTCCCTTCACTATACGGACGCCACTTTTAGTATTTAATTTCGCTAACACTAGACAATCTTTTCCTACTCAGAGGGGACCCTGTAGACAAGTGGTTAAGTCAAGTTAGGTTGTGTATATATTCAACGCCGCCATAGTCAACAGCTCACTCGTCACAGCTTTTAGTGTGTATTAGTCAAGGTGATTTTAAGTATATTTACATCCATTTATTCTGTGAACATTTAGAAACATTTTTTAGAATTTCTGTAAAGAAACTTTGGGAGAAATGCCCAGGTTTCCTAGTAAAACTTTACGTTGGCTATATGATGGCTCTATTGAATTTTATATACTCAAAAAACCTACTCGGTTTAAGTTGAATTTAGGGGCGCCACAATATACCGGTACTTTAAGTGCAGTGTTTTTCATGGGCCAATCTGCGTTCTGAGGCAGCAATAACGTCCATTAGTAATTAGTACAAACAACTGTTGAACCAGAGTTATGAGGCAGCCTCGTCCCTGGTCCGGCAGTTGCTTTGAAAGCCAACTAATCAATAGGTTTCCGGGATGAACCTGAAACTAAGTTTCCTGGCTTATCTTTCGGATATAAACTTAGGATTCACTCGTATCTCTCACTTTTGAGCCAGGCTGTGATGCTGGTATTGTTCTGCACGTGGAGTTTGAGGCCGATTGTTCTGTATATTATAATAGTTTCTAAAGTTGAGTGTTAACTTTGCCGTGCCTTCCATTACACTAATTACTTTTTAATCATTAAGTGAGAAATATTTAAAGGAGATTCAGTCATTTTGATTAACAGCACCAATGAATATATTTGCTATAGAAACAGAGGCTGCCTGATGACCTTAACCTGAGACACAAGTCAGAGCATCAACTTGTCTTTCAACATTTAATGGTAAATAGACACTGTATAATTAAATAATATTATAGATGTTTTTGGAACAAGGCGCGGCTCTACGGGGCACAGTGTGTAGGGGGCTACCTGTATGCTCTAAAGTTAACTTTTCTGTAATAAAACAAGTTTATTGATTTAACCATAAATATTATGAGAAATAAACTGATCTCAACATGTACCAACTCATACGGAATGTGAATTCTATGTGCGGAGTCAATGAATTTCAGAATGAACACTGTGACTCCTGTTGTCTCGGTGGGGTTGTCAAAATCCTTCGTCAGTTGCCGAATATTTCTTCAACACAATTTTGCAAAGATATTTTTTGCGTAACTATACATGATCAACATTTTAATTATTTAAAAAAAAAAATTCTACTTTTTATATTCAGAGGAAAAAAAATTGCCGTTGCCTTTGAAACATATTTCCCTCTGTTCATTAATTTCCACTACAGTACATAACGATATAGTGCTGGAAGACGACTGGTATATGATGAAAACTGGTTTGCTATAAGGACCATAAATCCAGGGAATGCTTCACTGTCAGCGCCATCTATTACCACATTTACACTGAGATACAAGTATTTTGGCTCACTGTAACTCCGCACCGTGTTCCCAGAGGTGGGGACATTAAGAAGATTAACTTCTTATTCCTCCACTAATTATTACTAGGTAAACA